TATTGCAACATCCTCCTAACCACTAGGTTTTCTGATTCTTACTTATTTTGTTTATTCTCAACACAGCAACCAGAGTGTTGTCTTTTAAAATATTAGTTAGATCATGTCATACCACTGTTCAAGACCATGTAGGGATTTCCATCTAACAAACAGTAAAAACTAATGCTATTTAAAATAACCTGCAAGAAACCCTGTGATCTGTACCCTCTCATTCACATCTTACCTCTGTGAACTCATCTCCTATTCTCCCCTCTCTCACTCCACTAGATCCACACTGGTCTCCACGTTATTCCTGGTCTCCAAGCATGATCCTTCTGAGAGCCTGGGCACTGTCTATTCCTTCTGTCTTGCACATGTTTCCACTTGCTTCTATAGACATACCTTGTTTTATTGTGCTTTAGCAGATATTGCATTTTAACTAATTGAAGTTTTGTGGCAACACTGCATCGAGCAAGTCTATAGGTGCTATTTTTCTAACAGCATGTGCTCCTTCATGTCTCTGTGTTGCATTTTGGTAATTCTCACAACATTTCAAACTTTTTCATTGTTATTAAATCCATTATGGTGATCTGTAATAAGTGATCTTTAATGTTACTATTGTAATTGTTTGGGGACAATTTAACAAACTAAACACATATAAGATGATGAACTCAATAAATGTTGTATGTGTTCTGACTGCTACACTGACCATCTGTTCCCCGTCTCTCTCCCTCTCCTCAGGCATCCCTATTCCCTGAGACACAACAATATTGAAATTAAGTCAATTAATAACCCTACATGACCTCTAAGTATTTAATTAAAACGAAGAGTTATACATCTTTCACTTTAAATCAAAAGCTAGAAATGATTTAGCTTAGTGGGGAGGGCATGTCAAAAGCCAAGATAGGCCCAAAGCTAGGCTTCTTGTGCCAAACAGCTAGCCAAGTTGTGAATGCAAAGGAAGAGTTCTTGAAGGAAATTAAAAGTGCTACTCCAGTGAACACAAAATGATACAAAAGCAAAACAGCACCAGCCTGTGGCTCACTTGGGAGAGTGTGGTGCTGATAACACCAAGGCCACAGGTTCAGATCCCTATATAGGAATGGCCGGTTAGCTCAATTGGAAGAGCGTGGTGCTGACACCACCAAGTCAAGGGTTAAGATCCCTTTACCGGACATCTTTTTTTTTAAAAAAAAAGAAAGCAAAACAACCATATTGTTCATGTGGAGAATGTTTTAGTGGAAGATCGAACCAGCTACAACATCCCCTTAAAGCAAAAGCCTAACCCAGAGCAAGTTCCTTACTGTCTTTAATTCTATGAAGGCTGAGAGAGGTGAAGAAGCTGCAGATGGAAATTTTGAAGCCAGCAGAGGTTGGTTTATGAGGTTTAAGGAAAGAAACAGTCTCTATAATAGAAAAGGTAAAGCAGCAAGTGTTGATGTAGAAGCTGTAGCAAGTTATTCAGAAGATGTACCGAAGATAACTGATGAAGGTAGCTACACTAAACAACAGGTTTTCAATGTAGATAAAACAGCCTTATATTGGAAGAAGACGCCATCTAGGACTTTTATTGCTAGAGAGAAGTCAATGCCTGGCTTCAAAGCTTCAAAGGATAGGCTGACCTTTTTGTTAGGGGCAAATGCAGCTGGTGACTTCAGGTTGAAGCCAATGCTCATTTATCATTCTAAAAATCCTAGGGCCCTTAAGAATTATGCTAAATCTACTCTGCTGTGTTCTAGAAATGAAACAACAAAGCCTAGGTGACAGCATATCTGTTTACAGCATTGTTTACTAAATATTTTAAGCACACTGATGAGAGCTCCTGATCACAAAAAAAAGATCCCTTTCAAAATATCACTGCTCATGAACAATGCACCTGGTCACCTAAGAGCTCCAATGGAGATGTACAAGTAGAGTAATGTTGTTTTCATGCCTGCTAGAATAACATCCATTCTACAGACAATGGATCAAGGAATCATCTCTATTTTCAGGTCAAACTATTTAAGAAATACATTTTGTAAGGCAATAGCTGCCATAGATAATGATTCCTCTGATAGATCTAGCAAAATAAATTGAAAACCTTCTAGAAAGGATTCACCTTTCTAGATGTTATACAGAAGTTGTGATTCAAGGGAGGAGGTAAAAATATCAACATTAATAGGAGTTTGGAAGAATTTGATTCCAGCCCTCATGGATGACTTAGAGGGGTTCCATTTCAGAGGAGGAAGTAACTGCAGATGTGGTAGAAATGGCAAGAGAACAAGAATTAGAAGTGAAGCCTGAAGATATGACTGAATTGCTGCAACCTCATGATAAAACTTAAATGAATGAGGAGCTGCTTCTAATGGATGAGCAGAGAAAGTGGTTTCTTAAGATAAAACCTATTCCTGGTGAAGATGCTGTGAACAATGTTGACAACAGAGGATCTAGAAAATTACACAAACTTAGTTGATAAAGCAGCAGCAGGCTTTGAGAGGATTAACTCCAATTTTGAAAGAAGTTCTACTGTGGTTTTGTAAAATGCTATATAACAGCATCACATGCTACAGAGAAATCTTCCATGAACAGAAAAGTCAATCGATGTGGTAAACTTTGCTGTTGTCTTATTTCAAGAAATTGTCACAGCCACCCAACCTTCAGCAATCACCACCCTGATCAGTCAGCAACCATCAACATCAAGGCAAGAACGTCCACCAGCAGAAATATTATGACTTGCTGAAGGCTCAGATGACCATTAGCACTTTTAGCAATAAAGCATTCTTTAATTAAGGCATCATTTTCTGAGATATTTCTTTACACACATAACAGACTACAATATAGGGTGAACATAACTTTTATATGCACTAGGAAATCAAAATATTTGTGTGACTTGCTTTATTGAGATATTTTTTGTGTGTGATGGCCTGGGACCGAACTGAACCCACAATATCTCCAAGGTATGCCTGTCTGACTCCCTGTCTCACTCCGATCCCTATCAGAATTCCAAAGAAATTTTTCACAGTAACAGAAAAAAATCCTAGAATTCGTATGAAACCACAAAAGACCCGAAATAGTCAAAGCAATCTCAATAAAAAAAAAAAAAAGCTGGAAACATCACATTCCCTGGTTTCAAAATATACTACAAAGCTATAGTAATCATAACAGAATGGTACTGGCATAAAAACAGACACATAGGTCAATGAAACAGAATAAAGAACCCAGAAATAAATACACACTTTAATGTTTTATTGATTTTCAACAAAGTTGCCAAGAACACACAATGGAAAAATAACTATCTCTTCATTAAATGGTGTTGGGAAAATTGGATACACACAGGCAGAATGAAATTAGAACTGTATCTCACACCATAATCCAAAAATCAACTCAATAGATAAACACTTAAATGTAAGATCTGTAACTGTAAAACTACTAAAAGAAAATACAGGAGAAAAGCTGTATGACAGTCTGAGCAATGTGTTTTTGGATATGTCCCCAAAGGCACAGGCAACAAAAGCAAAAATAGACAAAAGGGATTACGTCAAACTAGAAAGCTTCTGCTCAGCAAAGGAAACAATCAACAGAGTGAAAAGACAACCTATGGGATGGGAGAAAATATATGAGAATCATACATTTGATAAGGGATTAATCCAAAATATATAAAGAATTCAAACAACCAAATAGCAAGAAAACAAATAATCAGATTAAGAAATGGGCAAAGGACCTGAACAGATATTTCTCAAAAACATACATATGAATGACCAACAGATATATGAAAAAATACTCAACATCACTAATCATCAGATAAATGAAAATTAAAACCACAATGAGGTATCATTCACAACTATTAGAAAAGCTATTATCAAAAAGACAAAAGATAAGTATTGGCGGGGATGTGAAGAAAAGAAAACCCTTGCACGTTGCTGGTGGGAATGTAAATTAGCATGCCATTATGGAAAACGGTATGGAGGCTCCTCAAAAAACTAAAAACAGAACTACCATATGATCTAAAAATGCCACTACTGGGTATATATCAAAAGGAAATGAGATCGGGCCGGCCCGGTGGTGCACTGGAGAGTGCGCCGCTTGGGAGCGCTGTGGCGCTCCTGCCAAGGGTTCGGATCCCATGTGGAGACCCGTTCCCGCTCACTGGCTGAGCGCAGTGCGGGCGCAACACCGAGGGTTGCGATCCCATTGCCGGTCCCTGGTACGGGCGTGACACCGAGGGTTGCGATCCCGTTACCGGTCAGTAAAAAAAGACAAAAAGGAAAAAAAAAAAAGGAAATGAGATCATATGTTAAAGAGATATCTACACTCCCATGTTCATTGCAGCTTTATTTGTAATTGCCAAGGTATTGAATCAACTTAAGTGTCCATCAGTGAACAAATTGATAAAGAAAACGTAGTAAATATACATAATGGGATATTATTCAGCCTTAAAGAAGGAAATCCCATCATTTGTAACAACATGGATGAACTTGGAGGACACTATGTTAGTGAAATAAGCTGGGCACAGAAAGAGAAAAACTACATGATTTCATTTATACGTGGAATCTAAAAATAGTCAAACTCATACTAGCAGAGAGTAGAATGGTGGTTACCAGGGGCTGAGGTTGGGGGTTTCAGGATTGGGGAGACGTTGGTACAAAATTTCAGATAGGAGGCATGAGTTCAAAAGATCTGCTGTACAACATGGTGACTATGGTTAATGAAAATGCATTATATACATGAAAATTCCTGAGAGTAAATCTTAGTGTTCTCACCACAAATAAATGGTAAGTATGTGAGGTAATTCATATGTTAATTAGCTTGATTCAGCCATTTCACACTGTTCAAAACATCATGTTATAGGAGAGTACTTCAAAAAGTTTTGAAAAAAATAGAGTTAAAAGATAATACAAATCTTTCCATGAACTTTTTGAAAACCCCTCATACACCATAAATATATACATTTTTTGTCAATTTTTTAAAAAATAAACATTTCAAATTACTGCAATAATATGTAAAAAAATAAAGACACAAGTTGTACTTAAGAGTTTACATACCTTGGTTTCCGAAACACTAAACTATATTGTTGACAAGCCAGGCCCACAGTAGGAGTATAAACAATAGGCATGAATTTCTCAATGTCAGACATTAGCACTCTATAAAAGAGCTTTTCATTTGTATCTTGAAGATCCATTAGGAGAAGATACCTGTGGATATTGGACATAATTAGATCTACATCCAAAAAATTCATAAAGTAGCTGCTTAGAAATCTAATTAAACACTTTTCAACCAAGTATAAATTATTTTTTAGGTTACATAGAAAACATAGGATAAAAAAGACTTTAGAAATATTCTTAAATGCTTCAAAGAACGAAGCACCATAAACTTTATTACATCATTCAAATATTAAAACCATTGCTGAAATAGCAGTACTTGAAGAGACCTATTGTAAAATGAAAAGCAGATGAATGTACCACTATAGATACATTTTAAACATTAACTTAACCAAATAAATAGAAAGACATTATCCTTTACCATCAGTACTAAATAACCAAGGAAAATGACAACCAGGAAGTGAGTAAGGGAATGTAGCAACCACCCTAAAAATAACTAAGACAGGCAAGTTCAAGGGATTTTTCTTACTGTTTGTATCTAATGGCCTTTTTCTTTCTAGAGACACTTCTGGCCCAGAATTATCTTTCTAAACAAACTTTTTTGTGTTACCTGTAGCCTTCAATAGTTTATACAATAGAATTCAAACTGGTACTACTTAAAAGAATCTTGCAAAACTATACTCAACAATTTTACCAACCTTTTGGATTGATTTCCATTCCCTAGGGATAGTTGAACATACACAGAACTGAGAGTCAGAGACGCATATAATTAGACAGACATACCCCAGAAAACAACTTTTGGGAGGAAGATGATGTGTTTTAGACATGGTGAAATTGATTTAGCAATGTGGAAGTCACCATTGCTAAACATCTGACACAAGTATCATTTCCTAGAGGCTGATACTCTTTCTTTCTTTGACTTCCAGGCCATGATATTCTTTTGATTTTCTTCCTATCTCACTGGTCATTTCTTTACTGTTTCTTAACTGTTTTCTCCTCTTCTCTGAAAGCTCTCTAATATTCATATGTAATATATTAGGAAATTATGTAGGCTTTACCTTCAAAATATATCCAAAACCTGAACATCTCCATTGCTACCACCCTGGATCCAAATCACCATTCATCTCTTGCCTGGATTATTGTAAAAGTCTCCTAAAATTTCTCCCAGCCTACATTCTATTCTCAACATTGCAGTCAGTCATTCTGACTGTCTATAACTTTTAATAATGTATTAAATTCCATGAAGGCAGAGATCATTGTCTATAATCCCAATACTTAAAAAAGTTCCTGACACTGAGTTAATACTCAATATATACCTAAGAAACAGTCTGTGGTAAAAATAGGAAAGTCGCCAGCTCTTAGGAGGTAGCTGATAAAATGGCCCAGGAAAAGAATATAAAATAAGGACATAAGAGGATAAAGGAACTTAAGGAACAAGTAAAAGAGAAGATTGTGACGGACTTTAAGAAGCAGCAAACATATACACATTAGACAAACTGAGTCAGATTCGCCTCTCATGCCCAAAGGGCTCATGAACAATGTGGCAATGGTGGCAGGGATGGTTATGCATAAGCTCAGCAACATGGACTTCTACTCACCAAAGCCAACCTGGCTACAGTCACTGCAGAGTGCTCAATCTGCTAGCAGCATAGACCAATGCTGAGTCCTTGATGTGGCACTATTCCCCAGAGTAATCAGCCAAGCTACCTGTTGGCAAGTTGACTACAATGGACAGCTTCCACCATGGAAGGGCACCATTTTGTCTTTACTGGAATAGACACTTACTCTGGACCCAGATATGCCTTCTCTGCATGCAATGCCTCTGCCAAAGCTACTATTCATGGACTTACAAAATGCCTTATTCACCATCATGGTATCCCACACAGCATTGCTTCTGGATCAAGGAATTCACTTCGTACCAAATGAAGTGTGGCAATAAGCCCATGCTCATGGAATTCACGGGTTTTACAATGTTCTCCACCAATCTGAAGCAGTTGGCTTGACAGAACAATGAAATGTCCTCTTGAAGATTTAGTTACAGCACCAGCAAGGTGGCAATATTTTGCAAAGCTAGGGTAAGGGTCTCTAGGAGGCTGTATATGCTCTGAATCAGCATCCAATATATGGTTCTGTCCTCCCATAGCCAGGATTCACAGCTTCAGGAATCAAGGAATGTAAATGGGAATGGGACCACTCACTGACAACCCTAGTGACTCACTAGCAAAATTTCTGCTTTCTGTCCCTATGACCTTATGCTCTCCTGGCCTAGAAGTCTTAGTTCCAAAGGGGAGAATGTTTCCACCAAGAGACACAGTAATGAACCCACTGAAAAGGAAGTTAAGAATGCAACTCAGCTACTTTGGGCACCACATGCCTCTGAATCAACATGCAAATAAGGGAGTTACTGTACTGGCTGGGAGAGGTTGGTCCTGCCTACCAAGGGGAAATTGGACTGCTACGCTATAATGGAGATAAGGAAGAATATGTCTGGATTCATATTATCTTTTAATTCTATTTTTCCACGAATTTTTTGAAGTACCCTCATACAGGAGATCCCCTAGCATGTCTCTTAGTATTACCACACCCTGTGATTAAAGCAAATGAACACTACAACCCAATTCAGGAAGGAATACTAATGCTCCAGACCATTCAGGATCAAAGGTTTGAGTCACCCTACCAGGTAAAGAACCAGCTGAGATACTTACTGAGGGCAAAGGGAATATGGAATGGCTCAGGGAAGAAGGTTGTTATAAATATCAGCTATGACCACATGATGAATTATACAAACAAGGACTGTAAACTGTCATAAGCATTTCCTCCTTATTTTGTTATAAATATGTTTATGTGTATATACATATACAAGCAAATATCATTTTCTTCCCTGTCTTATCACCTTCTCAGATAACATAAGATGTACTGGTTTATATCACAGTATTTAAGTATTGTTAACTTTACATTACAATATTTAAGTTAAGGGATATAAAAAAGAATAGTAAACACTAACCAAGGACTTTGCATCCTCTTCCTGCGAAAAGGTCAGTGTATTTTTGGTTGTATACAGGATAGTTGTATCATGTTAGTGGAAATATTACCTTGCTATTGTCTTTATTTGGAGATTTAGTATGGTTTAAGGAGATGCATATCTGTCATAGATACATGCTGTCATAGTCCATTCAGGGTGCTATAACAAAATACCACAGACTGGGTAGCTCATAAACAATAGAGATTTATTTCTTACAGTTCTGGAGGATGGGAAGTCCAAGATCAAGTCTCTGTCAGATTCAGTGCCTGTTAAGGACCCATTACTCATAGACAGCACCTTCTCACTGCATCCTTACATGGTGGAAGGGGCAAGGCAGCTCTCTGGGGCCTCTTTTATAAGAGCACTAATCCCATTCATGATCTAATCACTTCCCAAAGGCCCCATCTCTTAATACCATCACCTTGAGGGTTAGGATTTCAACACATAAATTTCAGGGGAGATACAATCACTTATATCATAGCAGTTGTCAAGTTGACCAGGAGTGGACTTATAATAGTTAATTTTATGTGTTACCTTGGCTGGGACAGTGTCTTAATCAGCTCAGCTGCTATAACAAAACCATAAACTGGGTGCCTTGTTGACAGCAGAAATTCACAGTAATGAAGGCCAGAATGGCTGGGTTCTGGTGAGGGCCCTCTTCCAGGCTGCAGATGTCTATCTTCTCATTGTATCCTCACATGGTAGAAAAATGAGGGAGCTAGCTCTCTGGCCTATTATAAGAGCACTAATATCATTCATGATGGCTTCATCCTCATGACTTAATCACCTCCCAAAGTCCCCACCTCCAAATACCATCACAGTGGAGATTAGATTTCAACATATGAATTTGGGGGGGGTCACATGAATTTGTGGCGGGTCACAAATATTCAGTCCATAACAGACAGGGTGTACAGCCATTTGGTCAAATACCGTTCTGAATGTTTCTGCAAAGGTGTTTTTTGGATGAGATTAACTTTTTTTTTTTTGTCCTTTTTTTGAGACCAGCCACGCCACGCTCAGCCAGTGAGCGCTGTGAGCGCACCCGTCATCCCTATATAGGATCCGAACCCGCGGCGGAAGCGCTGGTGCGCTCCCAGAGCCGCACTCTCCCGAGTGTGCCATGGGCTCGGCCCATGGATGAGATTAACATTTAAGTTGGTGGACTTTGAGTAAAGCACATTATCCTCCATAATGCGGGTGGGCCTCATCCAATCAGTTAAAGGCCTTAATAGAACAAAGACTTATCCCCCTTCCTGCAAAAAGGAATTCTATCAGCACACTGCCTTTGAATTCAAACTGCAACTCTTCCCTGGGTCTCCAGCCTACCAGCCTAGTGTGCTCCCAGAGCCGCACTCTCCCGAGTGTGCCACGGGCTCGGCCCATGGATGAGATTAACATTTAAGTTGGTGGACTTTGAGTAAAGCACATTATCCTCCATAATGTGGGTGGGCCTCATCCAATCAGTTAAAGGCCTTAATAGAACAAAGACTTATCCCCCTTCCTGCAAAAAGGAATTCTGTCAGCACACTGCCTTTGAATTCAAACTGCAACTCTTCCCTGGGTCTCCAGCCTACCAGCCTAACCTGAAGATTTGGGATTTACCAAGCCACACCTCCCCACCCCCCCCACCCCCCGCCACACACATACATCCTGTTGGTTCTGTTTCTCTGGAGAACCCTGACTAATACCAATACTTACTAGATATTGGGTTAGCTACCTCTTTTGACCCTCACAACAATATTTTCAAATAGCTATTATTCTCTTCAATCCACAGATGAAAAAACTGAGGTTGACAGAGGCTCAGTACCTTCATAAGAAAAGGCAGAGTCAAAAGCAAAGGGCAAGAAAGCTACAGTGGCCAGAACCCAATGCTAGTGAGATAGAGCCAGAACTTCAATCTAGGGCTACCTAATTCCAAAGGTAGAGAAAAATGTTACCTTCATCCTTGTGCAAAGACAGAAACTAAATGCTAAACAAAGTGATTTAAATTCACAAGTGTTGGAACGAAGCTTGAAGGCTGAAAGAGTGTGCTTTCCCGTACAATGTACTTAAAGTCTGACTAAAAGCCATTTTAAACTGTTTTGCTCTGTTTAAGGTGGCATTTCCTGATAATTTACCTTTATAGCAACAGTTTTATCATAAAATAAAAGTAGTCTCTCTGAAGATACTGTTTAGAAAAGAAAATTTTATTTCATTCAAATGTTCCTAAAAAGAATAATTTTTTTAAAAACATCACTGTATTTATAGGCAAATTCTCCTCAAAGTTGACTACTCTTTCCAAATCACTAAATATTTTAACTTTCTCATCAAATAGCAAATAAACCAGACAACTGCACAACAGAGATATAAAAATCACCCTGAGGAATGTGTTACCTGTCAAAGTCAGAGTTCAGACGCTCAAAATTTTTAACTACTCTAAGGACCTGGACCTCCTGACTGATGAAACAAGGTGGCAACAATCCATGAATGTTCAATTGCTGTCTCTCTTCCAGGGTAAAAGCCAAGTCCTTTGGAGAAAAGAAAAACACAATAATTTGAGAGGGAAAAAAAGACAGAAAGCATATATATATACACAAATAAAATCCAACAAGGATATAAAATTAAAAATCAGATGATCTGGCATCATTCGAAAAATGGCCATGTGACTGTGAGTACATCATGTAAACTCTCCATACTTGTTTCCTTATCTGTAAAAATTAGAATACTAAAATACTTTCAGAGCTGTGTCACTCACATATTGTTAGAATAAAATTAGATAATGGATGGGAGGAGACCACTTGAAGACACACAAAGGGAAGACGATATAATCATCATTATTAATGTCAGTAAATAAAAAAATGAATAGTAGTTAATACAAGAGATTTTAAAATTATGAATCTGTGACTTGTTGGCTTCCACCTCTACAGTACATCAGCAAATGCCTTATATGATTCTGAGGGACTTGTTCCAACACCACCCTCCTGAGTTATTTCCTACTATTAAGCACCCCTAGTCACACAAAAATCCTCACCATTGTATGAATATCCTTTAATTCTTCCATGTCACCATGGTCAAAAATGTCTTTCATACATCAGCAAATGCCTTATATGATTCTGAGGGACTTGTTCCAACACCACCCTCCTGAGTTATTTCCTACTATTAAGCACCCCTAGTCACACAAAACTCCTCACCATTGTATGAATATCCTTTAATTCTTCCATGTCACCATGGTCAAAAATGTCTTTCTTCCCTGCTTCTCTGCTCTTCAAGCCTTACCTCAAATGTACCCTGCACTCTAAAGCCTTTCAGGACTCACCTAGTTTGTCCATTACATCCCTCTTATTATACCTGTGTTATATTATCTGTTTACATTAAAACATTATAGGAGTATAAAACAGTAGTAATAACGAACAATGAAGCTAGAAAACAAGCAAACAAAATAGAAATGATGGGTTGATGTAAAAACCAGAAGGGACCTAAAGGATTTGCTGAGATATAATATGAAGGGAAGTAACAGCAGAGAAGTCCCTGAGGTGATTAATGGAAGAGAATGATCTGATAGATTGGGAAAAGGAGTCCCTCTGGAGAGGACTCCCACTGCAGATCCTGAAGTCCAGGGGGCCTCTCTGACTAGACTGTGACCGTTGTTCCTTTGGATCCAGTGTTAAGTGCAACAACATAACGTGATGGTGATTATTACAATCTGAATGTTTGTGTCCCCCCAAAATTCATGTCGGAATCCATGCCCTCAATGCAATGGCATTAGAAAGTGGGGCCTTTAGTCGTTAGTGTCCTTATAAAAGAGACCCTAGAGAGTTTGTTAGCCCCTTCTGCCATGAGGACACAGCAAGAAGACAGCCATCTAGGAACCAGGAAGCAGGCCCTTTACAAGACACCAAATCTGCAGCACCTTGATCTTGGATTTATCCGTCTTCAGAACTGTGAGAAGTAAATTTCTTTTGTTTTTAAGCCAACCAGTCCATGGTATTCTGTTATAGCAGCCCAACAGACTAAGACAGTCAGGTTTACTCATTGTGACCACTGCTGTTTCTAGACAACCTGGATAAGTAGGTACATGTTCACTAACTTTGCATTGAGTGATTTCACAGCCATCCTCTTCTGTCCCTGAAAGTTTCTTGCAGTGACAGAACAGTAACTCCTCAATCCTTGTGAAGTTTATTACTCAGGGAAAATGACAAAAAATTTGGTTCATCCCAGAGAGAGATGACAGACCCTGATTGGTAAGGCATGAACATGTCCAAACCCAGGAAGTGTGTGAAAGAGGTCAATGGATGAACAACTCTCTCTTCCTTCTAATTTTTTAGATGGATAGGCCCATTAATTCATGCCACTGATGCAAAGGTTTATGTTTAATTAGCTTCTTGGGTTAGGAGGGCAGACTGAAAAGAAAAAAATAGATTCCTCCACTAAGTGACATTCTGGTGGAGTTCTCTGAGTTGCCATAAGAGCTAGCTAGAAACAGTGGCTCCAGAATCTCCAGTGCAAGAAGCTGTGCACAACCTTGAATTTTCATAAGTTATCCAAATGCTAACTGCACAGCTGGTGTCTAGTTGCAAGGTGTTTTTCTCCATTAGCAGCACTCTCACGGCTGCAAAAGCCCCCACTGTAACATGCTCAGTTGGGGGTCCTCTGAAGTTCCAGTATGTGTGTATCCAAATGCTAACTGCACAGCTGGTGTCTAGTTGCAAGGTGTTTTTCTCCATTAGCAGCACTCTCACAGCTGCAAAAGCCCCCACTGTAACATGCTCAGTTGGGGGTCCTCTGAAGTTCCAGTATGTGTGGACAGAAGCAGTGTGGTCACTTTCCAAAAGGATGCTCTGTTTTATCCAGTTGTGTCTGGCCCAATCACCCTCTCCAGAGGGTGGATGCATAGAGAACAGCAGACTAGTCTATCAGTCCTTTGTCTAGGAGTTCCAGCCAGCACCAGGAGATACCTGTGGTGTTGCCTGAGCTCTTTGCCTGCCATTTACATCTTTACTTGTGGTTAGTGTTCCCAGACCAAAATGCAAACTCCATGAGGTCAATGAATTTTGTCTGTTTTCTTCCTAGTGCTCAGAACAGTGCCAGACACAATTTAGAACTCAGTAATGCGTATCATACACAAAATAAATTTTAAACATTCAATTTTAGAGAAAATAAAAATTTTTTTAAACTACAAAATTGTTGCTCAGGAAACTGATTAGTATATTCTGATAAAATTACTTTTAATATTTAAAGCAACTAGAAAGAGATATTTGTATGAAAAGTAACCCATAAAATAGAAGACATATTTCACTTGTTACAGAGATAACTGGGAAGACTATTCATTTAAAACAATACGTCATGAAATAACTCCTTGGAATGAAACAAAATTACGTACGGTAACATATTTGAAAAAAAAAAGAAAAGAAAACTCAACAGTTTTTTCTCTAACTAGAAAATGAAAAGTGAGGGGGTGAAAAGTTAGGCTCAAGTTAAAATCTCGAAAATATATGAATAGGCAGGATCTAGGGAAGGGGCAGCAGGTGCCATTGTAATGGAAACATAACTTTAACACTTGCACAATTTACCAATGCCTGTATGATTTTAACCTGCACAAATTATTCCTGTAAGCACTTACTAAAAAAGCGGGGAAACATATCTAAAGGTATTTTAAGTGAAGCAGCTTTTTAGAGGTCAAAGCAGAACTAGACACACATTCCAGGGGCCAGCCGGTCTCAAGGACTAAACAGCCCTCTTATCTTCAGGACACCTGGCAGAGCCCAAGTGATTAAAAAAAATTAAACAGTCCCTTATCGGGGGGGCTAGCCTGTTAAGCCTGACCATGAAAAAAAGTCTTTGTCCAAAGAAAGTGTATAAAAACTCTCATGTCAAGGAGCTAGGGGCCGCTTTTCCGAAAGACAAAGCGACCCAGCATGCTGAAGTAAAACTCCTCTTGCTTAAATTGCAGCGATCTCTTCTCGTGGTCTCTGTGAGGCGAGTCACTCTGGTGTGTAGGATTTGTGCTTGGTGCACGGGTCTTACATTTTGGGGGCTCGTCCAGGACTGGCTCACTCTCCCTGGGACCAGAGATTAGAGAACGGAGGATCGCTCGAGCAGGTACCGTGGCTGTCTGTCTGTCTGTGTCTGTTTTGTTGCCTGCTGTAAGTTGTCTGTTATAATCTGGTTTTCGGCGGCTCCAAGATGGAGTTGTTGATCTGGTTTCAGTGGCTCAGGGATGAGATCACGGTGGCTCAGGGATGAGATCACCGGTCTGATTTCAGAATTTCTGAGGCTCCAAGGCAGAGCCGTCCGTAGTGGTCGAGTGGCGGGGCAGACGTACTGGCACGCCACAGCCACAGCCTTGGCAAGACCTTGTACCTGACTCACAAACACGGACCCCTCATAGCTCATGTCTCCTGCCCCCCCC